GTTCGTATCCTCACCAAGCTAAATCACCTCTGGGTATGTTAATTCTTCCTAAACACAGATTTTACTGTTTTGTTTCAAACCTCCATGTCTCTTCCTGGAGTCCATTAGAGCCTGTAAATCAGATAATCCATCTTCTTACTGTCGCGGCCCTAGTCAGAAGGCCATGAGGATGTGCTGAGGAGACAGAGGTCACCATGAAAGTCGACCTCCGATGTGAAGGAAAATAAACCATTTCGGTAAGTTCTTTAGTTGTTTACTGTTCTCATTTAGGTAACAGGTTCATTAGTTAGGGGGAAAAAAAAGAAAAAGATAAAAAAAGGAAAGGCAGTTCATTGGTATTTTAAATGCTAAAACCAAACTATACTTCCATGGTAGTTTAAAGGCATATGTCTTTACATACATATACACACACACATATACTCGTATAAATATATCATCTTTATCGATGGAGGTATATGTGACTTAAATAAAAAACACAAAGCAGTGACAGTGAGGAGCTATAGGTTTTAGAATAGAAGATCTAAAACCGAGGCACTGAACATAAAATTAGCTATTAAAAAAAAAAAACAAAAAAAACAAAACAAGTATCATGCATAAATTGCCCTCCATGAAGGATGCCACATGTACAACTTAAAAAAAAAGAAAAAGTAGCCAAATGCCTGCTAATTAGGGTAACATTTCTTCAGACAGTTGGGAAGAAAGCTAAAATTTCTCTAATTATGAAATGGCTGCTTAAAACAATCAAGCATTAGGTTGGGATCTAATTATAGGAAGATATACTCATATCTAGCCATATAAAGGAGGACCTGAAATGCTTAAAAATCAGTGTATATTGATCTGGTGAAATACAATGGTGATATTTTTGTACAGGTGTTAAAAAAAAAAAAAGACTAGGAGTTTGACTTAGTGTCTCATTTAGCCAATAACAGTCCTCATTTGGGGTAGTATCGTCGCTTAGGGTAGAGAGTGGTAAGAGCTTCAACAAGACACAGAGAAGAGAACAGAAAATTGAAACAGAGGAAGTAGTTACTATTCTTCCCATGGAGAAAAGAGCTCCCAGCATACCCCTGCCCTTAAGCACATTCCAAGGGTGTCTTCCTAGAAGCAGCTCATCTACACACTTCTACAAACAGCAAACAGGGTATAGGCGGTCCCTCTAGAAAGGGAACAATGGCTGTCCCATGCTCATGTAAGCTTTTTAATGTTGATTTAACCATAGAAAATTTAATACGGTACTTCTGATGGAAAAGGAACAGAAAAGCCAAGCTACAAGGCAAATTCTTAGATTAACCCAACCTTCAAAATACATTGCTAACAACACAGATAAGAATATATACATTAAATACAGTACTGACTAAAACGTCATGTCATGTATTCCCTTTTAAATAACCTACCGAGGAGCTCAAACAAAGTAACAAACTTGTCGTCTATTAAGAATATATACATTAAATACAGTACTGACTAAAACGTCATCTCATGTATTCCCTTTTAAATAACCTACCGAGCTCAAACAAAGTAACAAACTTGTGGTCTACCCAGAATCCTAACCATGTTGAAAAAAACACCATTAAAAAAATAGACATAGTTTGTAATAGTGTGCAAGGGTGCCTAATTGCTTAATAAAGACTCTGAGGCAATATAAAATCCATAAACTCACAATTTAATCTTTAAAAATGAAATTGAAATTACAATTACTTTCACAGTCAATGTATTCTAATCCTCTGTAAATTATAACTTAATCTATGGTAAATTTAAAATTTGTTAACTAGAATAAGAAACAAGAGTATTTTCTCCAATTTTGAATGAACAGGAATTTACTAGCCTATTTTTTCTGTATATTATCATATGTAGAATATAGAAAAATAGCCTATACCATGGAAAAGGAGTCTATAAGCTAACAGAAAAAGTAGCAATGGTACAAACAGCACACTGCCTATACACAGTCGATACTGAGTAAGTGTTGAAAGAATGAATGAAGGGGTCCAGCAGGTAGCATTTTATTTAAGGTGCAGGACACTCCCACATGGCTGACCACGGTTTGCAGCCTGGACCTGTTGGCTTGCTTTCTCACTTTCCTTTTCTCTCTCTCTCTCTCTCTCTCTCTCTGTCTTGCTCAGGTCAAATTAAAATAAATGAATAAATAAATAAATGTAAAAGAATGAATGAATACATGATCACTGATAAACTAAAACACACATACAACATACATAACTTACACATCCATTCAGTATGCTGTGTATAGACACTAAACCCCAGCAATTAATGTTCACATGTGCCTACTGGCTTCTAAGTAATCGGTTTACAATAGCTCCATACATACAAATGATTTCTGCCCTGTCTCTAGCATCCTGCCCTTCAAACTCTCCCTCCACACATACACCCATGAAGACAATTACTGAGGGTTTGCAAAGGAAGCTGTAGATGGTTCTGTGAAAGGAAGAAACAGCTTCATCCAGGGAAAGAATCCTAGGAGGGATTCTGTGCCTTTTCAGTGTCCTAGATCTGAAGCACTTCTCCCATACGGCCCGCATCACTCCCTACTGAAGTTGGTTAAGTTGCCTTAAATGGTAGCCTGTAGCCATTCATGTAAAAGCATCTTGTTTTAGGAATGAGACTCTTGTTTAGAAGGGCTGAAAGAACTTTAGTCGCTCTTCCATCTGTGTGTACAGGTTCAATGTACCTCTTGCCTAAGGTTATGGCAACATGTACAAGAAAAAGCAGTTATTCTTGAAACCAGAAAGCGCCCAATGTTAGAATGGAAATATCAAAATGCAGTGCCAAGACATAGTCAGTTAGGACATGTGTAACACAAATTCATGGCTGTACAGGAAAACCAGAAGTACTCAAACCAAAGAGAAATGAAAAACAACCAATGAAAAATGTTTTTTAAAAAGTTAAGTTCAAAAATAAAAAAAATAGAAGTTCTCTCCCCAAAGATACCTGATAAACCAAGTTCTGTATAGCTCCTCATTTACTAATAGAAAATTAAAGCTTTGTCTAAAACTCCCATCAGCAATGGTGGACAATTAAAGAGGAATGAAGTGAATAATAATTGGTTAATTTGCAATTATTTTTCATACATATTCATAATTAAAGAATTTCCAAGTCTGAGTTATATTTCTATTTAAAAAAATGGAATCTATAATTGCATGTATCTACATGGCTCATGGAACAATGACACATATCCTACACTGACCTCATTTGATTCTTAAGGTAAATCTTAAAAGACTTACATTGTAAATGTCAGGGTACAGTCTAAAAATTTTTTTAAATTTTTTTGGAGAGGTTTTTGCTATAGGGCACGTGCACTCACCAGAAAGACAGAGAAAGACAGAGAGACAGAAGCTGATAAATAACCCCCCAAGGGGGGATGGCCATGCTGCAATCCCTTCTCCTCCATTCTCCTCTCAGGATCTTGGGCACACATGGACACGCGTCCAGCGTGAGTTTAAGCCACTGGGTCCCGGATGTGACCCATGGTCGACTACATGGGAGTCCAGCAACATAGCCATTATGCTAACTGCCGGTCCCAAAACAAAAAAAAAATTTAAACCATGCTTCCAGCTGCTTTTATCTATGAAGATATGCTATCATTTTGACAACTTGAGTGAATTTAGTTTGAATGCCCTTGTTCTCCACAGCTCAGCCTCTCTGTGATTCGGTCAGATGTAAACATGGCCATAGCAGGCCTTACATAGCCAAGCTGGAACACACACTGAGGCAGGAGGGTCAGGGACCAGAGCCAGCCAGTTACATGTGGAGGTTCTGTCCCATCAGTCAAGCTGGACCCACTGCCCTAAGACAGATTCAGTGAAGGCTGTGTTGAAGGTGGGGCATTTCTGGGATACTAAAACACAAAAAGAGATTTTTAACTGAATGTGACTAATTGTTGGGATATTCAAATTTTCAAAAATTGGTGCTAGACATAACAAACAGACTAAATCCAACTATGAATTTTTTTTTTCCAGATATTTTTCATGGATTCTTCAAACTATACAAGAATTCTGCTTTAGGGGTCAGTTAAACACAGAGATAAATGGCAGTTTGTCTGGGGGCTAAGAAAAGGGGGGGGAAATAATGGCAGAATATTAATTAACAACAGAAGTGCCAGTAAGTGGTAGAAATCTTCCAATTCTGAGACGCTGCAGAAAAAAGGCAAGGAAATATCTGGGTTTCAGGAATGGCGTCTCACACTTCCCCTTAACCTGAAGTGAGGACCCGAGGTATCGTGACACTGTGACTTTAAGCTGACTGATTCCTCCTCCTCATTCTTTGCCTTTCCTTTCTTCCTAAGAGATTGTCATCTTACTAGAATAAAAGCTTCTGAAGAATAGCAAGATGCTTTCCTAGTATTCTCTGCTGATTTTGTAAACAAACCGCTTAACAATTTTGTTCATAATACTTGCAATTCTTTGCATTCACAGAAGGAAAAAAATATGTTCTGAATTTAATGTGTCTGATAAATTTCCTTCGTGCCATGAATATTCAATTAATTTAACACTTTACAAATTCCTTAAACAAAATTGGTAAAAATTCCCTGGAACATGCCAATGGAAAATAATCTACAAACAGCAGAGACAATTACCACACGTGGTTTTTATTTTTTAATTGCCAGAGCCAATACCACACATATGCTTGCCTGAGAGAGACAGAGAAGAAGAAAGCACTCCCCCCACCCCCACCCCCACACACAGTGAGGCATGGTCTTGCCACAATCCGTCCATTTCTACTTCTTGTCAGGATTTTGGGCACACATGCACAGGCACTGGTGCTTTTTAAGCCACTGGAGCCGGCATTCCAAGTTGGCCACGTAGGATCAGACTCCCCTAACACTAGACTAGGGGCTGACCCCCACATGTGGTTTTTAATAAAGCATTTAAAAATGCTATGTGCTAATTGCCACCAGTAGGACGATATCGCACAATCGTTTCTAAAACTGGCATCATTATAAATACTGTAAAGTCACGGTTTATCATTTTACACAATCGTGGTTTACTTACTATTTGTATGTCTCAGAACGGATGTACTCAAACACATGAGATACCCCAAGCTGGAACTGGTCGGCAATTGGGGTTACCCAGGGATTGTTCTCTGCTTTGAAGACCTGCTTTTGACCAGTTAGATCCAAGTTTCCTGAAAAGATAAAGAGGGGGAAAAAAAAAAGGTGAAGGTCATTTTGTCTGACACAGACCTGGTCTAATAAGTCCTATTCTGTAACCACAGCACAATTCTAAGTACCTTGAGGTCATCTGACTTATTTTTTATTTTTAAAATGTATTACCACAAGTCATCACGGGTACGCAAGCAATGGTACCAACCAGACCTGGCCCAAGAAATTCCTTGCCCAAGAAAATAAGGACAAAGGAGAGAATAAAACGGGAAGAGAGATGGAGGGAAGGAGGAAGGAGGGAAGCAGATCTGGAAGGCATTCTTGCCAATACAGCATATGTCTTATTTTTGTAGATATCCACTACAGACACTAAAATAATATGCTCAAGATTGAGAGAGGTGACAACATTTAAACCCCCCTAGAATTCTGTCTTGAAAGTATCAACGTACATCACGTCTGATCTAAGCCCAATCTGACCAACATCGCTTTTCCATGAACCAAAGTAGAATATGAATGAAGACAGTAAGATTAGTCAATCAAATTACTCCATTATTCAAGTAGCATAAGCACATCTCAGATTAGCAATAAATGAATCTCATTAACATGGTAATGATAGAGACTAACATTTGTATAGCTCTCATCAGTTTACAAATTGCCTTTTAAAATAATTTCCTCATTTAATTCTCCAGCAAACCTTCAGCCTGTTATTAATATCACTTTATAGGAGAAGACATAGAAAAGTGGAAAAATTAGTAACTAACTTGTCCAAGATTAGAAAATGTCAGCGAAGGGACTTGAACCTAGGACTTCTGACTCCAAATCTCATATTGTAATCTTTCTGCAGTGTCTGGTGATACTTTCAAGGTTACATATCAACCGAGATCAACCAGGATGATTTCATGAAGGTAGCACAAAAAAGCCAGCAAACACCACCTCATCTGAAATTTCATCTGTTAATGATCAGTTAAATCTAATTTTTTTTTTTATTTTTGTACATTCAAAAATGGAGAAGGCAATGTGTAAAAGAACTCCCCATAATGTGCCTGCCTCTGGAAGAGAAACCCAGGGACAGAGAAGTGAAACAGCAGAGATCTAAGTAGCTTTCTTGGCAGCGGCCTCACTGAAGAACTTTCACTACAAGTCCTACTGAGCAAGTCCATTTCTGACTCCTGGTGCAAAGCCCAGAGCTGTTCAAACATAGACACCCAGCAATTATCTTTCCCAAGACACAAGCAAAGTAACACGCTTGTCCTGTTCTGAGACTCTGCTGCCTATTTTTTTATAACTGACAAAGGATAATGAAAACATACTATAGAATACAAGTAGATCACAAAGTAAATAATTTCCTAGCTGATTTGCACTTGGGAAGTGAAAGAATAAATGAACATTTTCACTAGGAACATTGTACAATGTTCCTTTAAATAATAAATAAATAAATAAAAATAATAATAAAAATAGAGCAGATACTCAGGCCAGCAGGTGGTTAAGACTCCCACATGGCCAACTGTGGCTCAAGTTCCAGACTCAGTGGCTTCAAATTCATGACGGGCACATGTGCATGCATGCCCAAAATCCTGAGAGGAGGGCTGGAGGAGAAGGGGTTGTGATGTGGCCATCCCCCCTTGAGAGTTATTTCTCACTTTCCCTCTCTCCGTCTCTCTTCAGTGAGCCCATGTACCCGATGGCAAAAAACAAAAACACAACCTTATTAAAAAAAAAAAAAAAAATATATATATATATATATATATCCATACACACATAGACTCTTTTCTCTTTTTCTTCTTGGAACTATTCAGAAAGATGGGAAAAGAAAAAAAAAACATAAAGAAAACAGTTATCACCAAATATTAAGAAAGAATCATTCATCCTGGTATTGCTAAAGCTACTAGAAATTTGTTGGTATTAAATATAAAAAGAAGCAGATACGATGCTCTCCAAGATGATCAATATTGACAATGTCCTCATCTTCATGGTTAAACATCATTAGTCAGATATTAAGTCACCTGAGAAATTAATGAGTTGGTTTTCTACACTGTGATTCAGAAAGCTGCCCAAGGCAAAAAACATGCAAACCTAAGGGTCACACAGATTCTGCTTAGCTGAGGATCTTCCCTGGGTCTGATCTTGGTGGCAAGGGGCTGCCATTGATCCTTATTTTACCTTTACTCAGGGAGAGGGCTTTTTAGCTCTCCAACAATGAAACTGATGTCTTGTTCACTTTTCTCTCTATTTTTATTTTCCTTTTAGGATCTCCTTTGCTATTTATGTCCTCTCTTTCATACCATTTCCTCATTATGCCTTTTTGTCTAATTTCCCCTTTTCCTAAAAATGAATATAATGTAAATTTCTGGAAAGAAGTCATCCATCTAAACAGAAGTTTGTATTGCTGATATCCCATTTTACACAAGGGATATATGTGTCATCTACTCTTCTTAGAAAGCATGTGGCTATTGAGGGAAGGGCCTACATACTAGCTAATAACCACCATGCAGCAATTCAATAATAAGTTGGGGGGATAAGGTGCTGTATGTAACTACATTTTTCTTAAAACTGTCACTTCAGAAACAGTCTGTGTGGGGCCAGCAGGTGGTGTGGTAGTTAAGGGGGACTCTCATATGGCCAACCACAGTTGGAATTCTGAGCCTAGAGGCTTGGAAATCACACTGGGGTGGGTATGTGTATGTGTCCAAAATCCTGAAGGGAGAGTGGAGAAGAAGGGATTGTGGTGTGGCCATTTCTCCTAGGAGGTGATTTCTCACTTTTGTTCTTTCTGTCTCTGTCTCTCTCTCTCTAGTGAACATATGTGCCTTATGGCAAAAGAAAGCTATCTGGGCAGGGGAGGGGGGAGAAAGGAAAGAAATAACCTATGAAATATATTGTCATCTTCCTGCCTCTAAGCCTTGTCCACTCACACTGGCATGCGTTGACTGAAAAAAATAACAGAGCCTTTTAGAAAACACATGTAACCCAACGTGGAGGGAAAAAAAAGCTATAAATCCTTAGATGGCATGTTAACAGAATTAGGGCACGAACTAACTCCCAAGTAGAGGATCTCCCCATTAGTGGCTATTCTGCTCTAAAAATCTTTCCTCTTCATCCCCTAACATTGATGATACTCCTGAGAAACGGTCTGAATTTCTAGCTGATAGGACCATACCCTGTTACACAAGCATCAGAGCTTTTTGTTATTCACACATTACCATGAATTACTCATTAACTCAACTGGACTACTTTCTTTTTAGCATCTGGTTTGGATGATGATGTGAAAGTACAATTTTTTTCTTCTTCTTATCTTTTTTTCTTTTTCTTTTTACTTTAGGGAGAAGACAGGAAGAGAACAGAAGGTAGCTATGTTTGGAGCATGGAGCATTCTGATGAGACTGTATGTGTAGGCCCTTGGTCAGTGTGTGATAGGCGTAGACCAGAGGATCTGGGAAGGACGTCACAGATGAACCTCGGCTGTTCCAGATTTGCCCAGGGATGAGTGATATAGACAGTGAGGGGAAAAGATGCCTTTCTCCCAGCTGACTCACAAGCTCCCTTCTGCCAGGGTCCAAGACTTGCCCTGATAATCTGGGCGTATCAGTACTAATGAGTAAAACAGGTTTTAACAGACCATCCTTGAACTCAAGGTACAGCTGTGTATTTCTGTGGGCAAGAAAGATTCTGCATTCTACTACCAGCAAATTACAAACCCACCTTGGAATGTACACAACCTGCTTTAACTTATGCACAGCCTCTTACTAAGCTTGCAGTCTTCTTGGTAATAATTCTTTAAAAACAATGTACTCAAGTTCTATGCTCCCTGATTGCTACATACAGAAGACAAAACCTCGGGGAATAATGCCAAGAAAGGTCAGTCATGTTCTCTAGGCCCCTTTGTCTGAAGCCTCTAACCCCCTGGAGATCTGTCAATCCCAAGCGATGTCTCTATTTGGGTGCTGTCAGTGGAGACAGAAGAGGCGTAGAGGATTGTTAATGACGTCTGCTAACTGGAGCACACATGAGACACTGGATGCGAGCTAGACAAACTCCCTTCAGGGAGAAAGAGGCTCACGCTGATGTCTGAAAGTCAGAGTAAACAGAAAAGACCCTGAGTATCTTCATAGGCATTACTTCATACCCATCTGCACGTTCTAGCAGGCAGGGAGGGTAATCCAGCTCTTCCCCACCTCATTTATTTATTTTAGTACCAAATAATGCTACTATCTCACACTCACAGGTGATTCAGAGCTACATGACCTGGGGAGCCTAACAGGAAAGAATGATTTTGGTTCACTGGGGAGGGTGGGAGAGAGAGTGAAAAAAAGAAGAAATAGCTTTTTGTTCAATGCTGTTTTTGTTTTGTTTTTCCCTAACCAAGAACCATGAAAACCAGGTTTAATGTGCATGGCAAACCTTAAAGGAAGAAAGTATTACAGATGACAGAGATGGAAACTGCATGAACCACACTGAGCAATGTCTCTCAGGAGTTATAACCAGGGCTGGGCGTAATCAGACGTGCTTATTTTGTTTTTTTTCGAGTTAATGTCAATGGTGGATAACACAATCCCTGTTTCTGTGTAGCTGTAATCCTCCCAAGCTATTTGTCTCAGGGTTCTCTTACCTCACTCTGTGCCAGCGCGGAATGCAGCCATTTCAGAAGAGGGTTAATATAATTAGAGTAAAGCTAGGCCATTATACTGTGTGAAAAGATGACACCCATCTCATATCGGTCTAGCAACAAGTTACATTGCCTCGGCAGGGCTCGCCTGTCAGCTGTCGGAGGTAGGTTCCCTTTTAAGTAATAACATGCAGGAAGCATCTCAGCCCACTGTCAGTCAGCCTGCACGCGCTCTGACGCCCCACGCTTCAGTGCATCGAGCTAGGAGCCCTCACCCATCCCCTTTATTAGAAGGCTGAGCAGCGCACTGGTGGTGTTCTAACAAGGATCAGGCAGCAGGATTAAGCACTGTGACAAAGAGGATCTAATAAGCTAGAAAGTGGTGCATCTACAGACACGCTGGCTGGCTCCCAGACACAG